CCCCAAAACCCCAAAACCCCAAAACCCCAAAACCCCTTAGATATTATGGATTATTGATTTATTTTGCATACTTATATTGCTGCATTGACTTCACGCACAACTTCTTCTTTAGAGAGTGCTCAGTTATCTTTTCATACTGGGGTCCTGGATCTGAGCCTCTATCCTTGGAATACTGAGCAGAGAAAACTCCTTCAAATCTTTTGGGGTTTTCTAAAGCTAAACTATAGAACTTACAATGTACTTCTCTTTTCGAAGTAATGAGAGTAAATTGTATTTTAGCTTTCTTTTAGATTAGAGATGCATACTCACCTCTTGTTATATAGGTAGTCATGCCCAGCTGGTGCATCCTGTAAGCACTTAAATGTCTTTATAATAGACATGGAATACTCCTTGCTAGAGATATTACTCTTTTCATGCCGAATTGGCTTCAAATCATTGGAAGAGATAGTCCGATTGTGGAACTCAATTTCAGAATCATAGTTCTTGTCCTATAAGGTTGGGCTAGAGAAATACTCTGTCAGTGATGGTCTGTTTCATCAATTTGTCAGCCTGGAGGATAATCGACCTATTAGTCACCTCTTCTAGCCTATGTGGGGGTTTCCGGAAACCTAAAGATCAGATATGGTTTACTTGGATACTTCCGAATTTTGATCTTAGTAATACTTCTAGCTCTTTTGTATTTCTTAGAAGGTGGTCTCTCTGAACAAGAATCCTCCGCTTCTTGGAGGGTCTTTTCAGAGATTATAGACATCTTGGGCAAACTTGAGCGGACGACAGAAACAGCCTCCTGAGTAGAGACTTTACCTACAACTATTATATTTGTATAAACTAGGTAACGTACTTGGGCTTCAAGGTGAATTGTCTATGGCAAGAGTAGCTTTTACATTTGATAATTTTATATCTGAATGGAGAGGCATTGGTCCGGAGTAATCAGAGACAACTTTTCTGTGTTTCATACCTATGGACTGCTTGGAAGCAGCAAAGAATTTTGTGCCAGATAAAGCAAGTGAAATTCTTGGGCTCAGCTTATAATCTTGCCCAGTACAAGGATCTTTCCTGTTACTTAGACTCTTTTGCTTGGGGTAACCGAGCTAGGATACTTCAATGAAGCCATTGTGACCTTTTTAAGAGATCCTAATGTTTCACCTATCTTTTTGTGAGCTACAGATTGAGATCCTCTTCTCTCCAGTTTGCTTTGAAAGCCTAAAATTATAGTTATTTTGCACTTAAGGAATCAAAAACTGTTCATAATCTTACTGTTCACATGCAACATTTTCCTAAGATTTCCATTTTCTCTAATCTTATCAGCCCATTGACTTCTTCCAAACCTGGAATTATTTTTCTCCCGTTGCTTCTTAATTTCTTCTTTGATAGTCAAGTATCCTGCAGAATATGTAAGTTGGTTTCTTACCTTTCTGTCCAAAGGAAGTATTATTCGCCTTCTCTCGAATCTTAATTAAGGTCTTCTGCTGACTTATCTTGTGTAAAGGGTTCATAATCAAGTGCTGATTTATTTTATAACAAGTTCAAGCAATCAATACTCGTATGGGGTTTTGGGGTTTTGGGGTTTTGGGGTTTTGGGGTTTTGGGGTTTTGGGGTTTTGGGG